TTATACTACATGTGCAAGAAAAGTTGAACCTACAGAATTTATGTTCATTTAGGCTCAGTTCTGCTATGGAACTAAACCTGGTATGAAGTGACTCACTTAATTAAGTACAGTCTTAATTTGTATCACTAAGCAAAAAAGAAGTAAGCCGTAGCAAAAATATATAAAAAATAACAGGTAAAATAAATATCCAATACTTTTCAGTAACAAAATATATTCATATGTTAAATTAATTGTTAACTGAATTCACGTTAAAAACTTGTTTTTCAAAAAAATGTATTACAGTTACATATTCAATATCTTTAATCACAGCTGAAGTGAAAAGCATACCAGATTTACTTGATTTTCACTGTAAAACCTAAGTGCTCGAAAGGTTTCATGCTAACACCAACAATGCTAGTTTAAGAATTTATCCATATAATTATGAAATCAATACATTTCTTCTAAGACATTTTGAAAGTTTTTATTCTGTGGTAAAAGACAAGCATGCCTCGTGTGATTACTGTAGTGGATGTTATAACTAGCTAAATATTAAAATATGTTCCATGCCTGCGTTTCTTTAAAAACACTGATTTGTTTAACCACATTTAGTGAGTATGTCAGGAGCATCTCTTACATCTGCTGATTGCTAAATGTAAATGAGAGTTTAATAACTATCATTATTTAACAGAAACCTATAAAGGAGCAGTGCCTTCCTTTCTATTAGGAAGAGACAGGATGCCATTTTTGTAATTGGATGCAGTGTTGGCATAGGAAAAAAAAATAAACACAGAGTACAGTCTTCACTGGCCATATTTCTCAATGATGTCAAACACTCCAAAACTTCTGGGAATCTTCTATAATGATAATTAACACGACAGAATGAAGGTAACACATATATATTTGAATAGTTTCTCTGAAGCATGGAAAATAACTTGCACTTCGGTATTTAGTTCATGGAAGTTGAAAAAATACTGGATAAATCCCTTTTTAACATCACTGACATATAATTGGGGGCAGGGTACACTTTCCCTTTGAGTGAATGCAAGTACTCCTCGATTTACGACCACAGTTGAGCCCAATATTTCTGTTGCTAAGTGAGATAGTTGTTAAGTGAGTTTTGCCCAATTTTATGACCTTTCTTGCCACAGTTGTTAAGTGAATCACTGCAGTTGTTAGTAACACAGTTGTTAAATCACTCTGGCTTTCCCACTGACTTTGCTTGTCAGAAGGTTGCAAAGTGTGATCACGTGACCTGGGACGTTGCAACCACCATAAATATCAGTCAGTTGCCACGTGTCTGAATTTTGATCATGTGACCATGGGGATGCTGCAATGGTCATTAGTGTGAAAACCATCATACAGTTGTTGTTTTTATAGTGCCACTGTAACTTCAACCGGTCACTAAACAAACTGTTGTAAGTCCAGGACTACCTGCATTTGAAAACTGAATTTTAAACTGTATTTTAACAAAGTGAATGAAGATTTCAGCTACCATATTATAAATGATCAGCAATACACCATGCCTGGCAGCAATTACTTACATTATTGCAGAGAGTGCAACTCTAAGATCGGGTCGTGGTTGAAATAAATTAGCTATTTGTTCTTCTTTAGAGAAACAGATTAACCTTCCTCATTCTGCTGACCCCCAAATGCTTGGGCACTACTTCAGTTAAAATGCTCAATAAGTTGAGCAGAGCAGAGGTGTAGCGTGGGGGGTGCAGGGGGGGCCGGCCGCACCAGGCGCAACATCTGGGGGGACGCGCTCGCACTCGCATCTCTCTGCCCCTGCCTGGCTCACTCACTCTCTCTGCAGTGCTGGCTGTGCGAATCCGATCTGAGCCGCTGGGTCGCCGCCCACTGTGGAGGGGGGGGGCGCAAATTACTTGCCTTGCCCCGGGTGCTGACAACCCACGCTACGCCACTGGAGCAGAGAGTTCAACCTTTTCACCAAAATTGTCCTAGTGGACAATCATTTAAATATGAGCCAGCAGTGTGCTGCAGCTGCCAAAAAAGCCAACACAGTGCTGGGCTGCATTAACAAAGGGATAGAATCAAGATCACGTGAAGTATTAATACCACTTTACAATGCCTTGGTATACTGCATCCAGTTTTGGTCACCACGATGTAAAAAAGATGTTGAGACTCTAGAAAGAGTACAGAGAAGAGCAACAAAGATGATTAGGGGACTGGAGGCTAAAGCATATAAGGAAAGGCTGCTGGATTTGGATATGTCTAGTTTAATGAAGAAAAGGATGAGGGGGGACATGATAGCAGTGTTCCAATATCTCAGGGGCTGCCACAAAGAAGAGGGAGTCAAGCTATTCTCCAAAGTGCCTGAAGGCAGGACAAGAAGCAACGGATGGAAACTGATCAAGGAAAGAAGCAACCTTGAACTAAGGAGAAACTTCCTGACAGTTACAACAATTAACCAGTGGAACAACCTGCCTCCAGAAGCTGTGAATGCTCCAACACTGGAAGTTTTTAAGAAGAGACTGGACAGCCATTTGTCCGAAATGGTATAGGGTTTCCTGCCTGAGCAGGGGTTTGGACTAGATGACCTCCAAGGTCCCTTCCAACTTGATGATGATGATGATGATGATGATGAGACATATGTTGCACTCTCATGACATAAGAGTATGGTATTTGTACCAGAGTATGGTGTCATGGCAAATTTATAGCCGGGTAAAGCTGCTGTCTTTACAGCACATACTTGTTTTTGTCATTTGACTCTTGCCTTTCCCCTGCAGACACCTAAGCAGATATGGAGGAGGAGAAAAAAGATGGTGGCCACATGTATGACATCAAAGCCACAATGCATGTAAAAACATTTGGGGCTTTGATCCCATGATGGCAGCTGGAGTCTTGACTTTTTTTGACCCTTCCAGCTTTAATAAATATTCCTGGGAAGCACATCTGCTGGTTGCTAAGACTGAAACTAGCTCATATCCCTGGAACCTCTGAACCCACCAGACTTTAGAACACTGAAGCAAAGCAAAAAAAGAGGCAGACTAAACAAAACCTAGTTATCATCCTTTTCACCACCCATTGTTTTCCCACAAAGCATTCTAAACATATGATTACCTTAAACACATGCATTTGGAACACAATAGGAAAAAAATGCCAGGGAGGAGAGGAAAGATTTAAAATGGGCAAACTAACACTCTTGACGTACGGATATGATATTTAGAGAGTGTTGTTCATAAAAAAAGGGGGAGATTCTTTTTATCGACATACACACTGTATATACACATGATATTGACTTTCTTTAACCTTTCCAACCTGCCTTCAAAACCCCTTAAAGGACCTCAATAAAGGTCTTTGAGTAATACACCTTCGTATTACAATGTTAGGTTGTACACGGTGGAGGTGGAAGGATGCAATTTTCTTGCAGTTCTCTATATCCTGCAAATACCTTCCCTTCCTATTTCCTTTTATGGAATATTTCCTCTCCCCAGCTCTTCTTTTCTAAATGCAATTTGTTTGTGACAAAAAAGGGATGATGTTCTGAACAATCTGCCAATGTCAAAACTTCTTGAATTCAATGTAATACAGGGCAAAGGAAGTGTCCTGTTGTCCAAATAAAAACTTGTTTTCTACATTACACCGAAATAAATAATAATAATAAATACACAGTCCATATAAAGATAAATTAAAGAACTATCAAACCAAAGTTAGAACATGTGTTCAAAGTGTATATATAATTGCACCAATTTCTTTAATCCTGCTGGTCTGACAGGTTTTAAATTGACCATAATTTACACTGTGTCCAAGAACCTCAATTCAGACATTTGCCTGAACATAGGGAAAAGATGACCATGTAGAAAGACGCAGCCTCTATGGTAGTGGTGGCGAACCTATGGCACGCGTGCCAGAGGTGGCACTCGGAGCCCTCTCTGTGGGCACGCGTGCCGTCGTCCCAGCCCTGCCTCCCCCCACGGCCCCCTCCTCACCAGTAGCCCCCCTGGAGGAGAGTCACCCCCAGGCATGGCCGTATGGAGCAACACAGCCAAGGACATAGCTGGGCAATAGGGACAAGACTCTGCCCTCGCACCCCATAGCGTGCAGATGATGCTGCAGGGTGTGGACGGAGGGCATGGCTGCCATGGCGCTGCAGGGCTGCCTGGGCGATCTGCTGCGACGGGCCATGGATGCGGTGCATGGCCCTGCGGGCGGGTGGGGCAGGGGGCGGGCGGGGGCAGAGCAGGCAGGGCGGGAAGCGGAGCAGGGGTGGGGGGCAGGTTTTGGGCACTCGGTCTCTAAAAGGTTCGCCATCACTGCTCTATGGGTTCAAGCAAGAGATCTGAAAGGTGGAGTTGTTGAAATCTAATAATCCGGGACTCTGCTTTATTTGAATCCTGTCTTGTATAGAGTTCTATCCTTTTCAGGGTACCACCCAACGTGGTTGTACAGTGGGAGAAAACTGGAGGAGGAAGTGCTGTGTTTAGGGCTTTGAGCTCCTAAAGCAGTGGTGGCAAACCTATGGCACGGGTGCCAGAGGCGGCACTCAGAGCCCTCTCTGTGGGCATGCGCGCCGTCACCCCAGTCCTAGGCCTTCAGCTGGGTTTTATAAAACCTTTTCGCTTTAGGCCTTCACCGCTGTGTGCAAAAAAAAAAAAAAAGGTTCAATCAGTCAATTTCAACTTCTTGCGGGAAAAAAAAGATCTTGCAAAGTTGGAATTGATTGATTGAACTTTTTAGTCCCACTCAGTCTGCCGTTACTACCGCAGCCACGCCCAGTCAATGGGCCACGCCCAGCCAATGGGCCCCACCCACCGGGCACTCGACGATGCATAAGTGGGTTTTGGGTTGCAGTTTGGGTACTCTGTCTCTAAAAGGTTCGCCATCACTGTCCTAAAGGAAAGACAGGAGATCATCCTAATAATTAAATACATAAACCCTAAAACCATCAAGTAAAAAATATGTTAATGAGTCATGACATTTGGAAAGCAAGTCTTCAATGTCTGCATCCGTCTCTTGATTTAAAAGTGGCAACATGGCAAAAAAAAAAAACCCTCTCTTACCTCGAAGGCAGAGAAATGTAAGGAAATCTTCCGTCTTAGGCTTCCTTTTGGAGAGGTCAGAGATCTGTGTAGCTGGAGGGGGCAATAATGGCTCCACTATCTTTACTGGAGTTGTGCTGGGACTGTTTGGCTGAGACTGAGCAAACTTTCTTTGTGCTTGCAGCCTTGGCCTATGGAAAAAAACACAGGAAACACAAATGCAGTTAGAAGGCAGGGACTAAAACAAAACTGTAGAATTATAGTTATAATATCTTAAAATCAGTGCCAATATAATTTTCTGTCTTCCCTGGGGTTCTTACGATGTCAATATTGGTTTTAAACGTACTGAGGATGTTTGAGTTGTCGTAATGTATAATGTAAACCACTGAGAGTCGTTAAGAGTATGGTGGAATGTACATTTAATCAATAAACCAAAAATAACGACTGTAACTAACTTAAAAAAAAATCCAGAAACTTGCCTTAAAAAGCAAACATCCAATAAGGAGCTTCAAGAAAACAAATATGTACAACAAATATGCTTTTTGGAAGATCTGGAAGCCAATGAGAAGAACGACAGCCGTGAAGCAGAAGGATGGAGTATTTTTTACTAGTAACAACATTCAAATGCAAATTTTAAATTGTGATGGTAATGCTAATATGTCAGGGAATTGCACAGCAGATGTCCAAATGAAGTCAGAAGACGCTGACACGAACTTGTAGTTTTATATAAACAAATAAATAATGTTAAGATATTTAAATTTAGTAGCTGCAGCAGTGGGATTGTATGTACAGTGAGCAAGAACATACAGATGTGGTTGATTGGTTGGAGAATGCTGGGTCCTGTGTGGTATCTCACTGTACAAATCCACTGCTCCAGCTACTAAATTTAAATATCTTAACATAATAGGTGATTATATATATAATTTTTTTAGTTTGCTTCACCATAATGCTTGCCGGCATTTTGAATCTATATTGTTTTGCTGGCAAACTGTTGTATTTCAAACCCCTTCTAGAGCTCATATTTCATTTCTTACAATTTTTTTTTGCATTTATAGCCAAATACAAAATACATGTGTGGCGTATTATTTTTCAAAAGGTGCAGCCCTAAGTTCTTATCTCTTTCAAATATACATAAAGGGTAGGGGTGAAAAAAAAATCGCACTCTATTAATTAGGTACCGTAAGCTGTTAGAGATGGAAGGCTTTGTTCTATGTAACCATATTCCAGCATTTTCATTTGAAACCCCGAAAAGCACTTTCAAGAGATACGTTGCATAATTTGTACTAAACACTGATTTCTTGGAACTGTAATATTAAAAACCCCATATTCATCTACTGCTGTCAAAAGGCCTCATTCTTTAAACATTATCAAAGTAGTAGCATCAATTATGTCACACAAGTAACAGAAGAACTGGTATTTTTTTTTTTAAAGATCAGTTGTGATTTTTTAAAATCACAAACACAGAACTCCTTCGAAGATATGAATCTATACTTTCTCAGGAGGAGATACATACCCATCTATTGGACAGATCCTGAATATGAATAAGACCATAGCACAAACTTAAATAACCTGGTGATGTCCTCTGTGCCACCTCTGCCCTGTAACAGACCTCCCTTCAAATTAGATTTTTTCCCCACAGTCTTCCTAACTCAATCCAATTACTTGTCATATACAACCAACTCTATTTGGCTGTCCACTGACAGAACATCTTACAATCCCAAAGCAGCTAACGTCAGTGGTTTTGTAAGAGTGGAAACTGGGCTGAAATTGAAGCCAAGTTCCTATCATTTCACCAGCTGATAATGAATGTGCTCCTAATTTTGCTCCAAGATGTTGTCATATATATAAAATACTCCAAGATGATCTCTTAATGAACTGTTAATAAGAATTATCTGCTTATGCATATTTTTTGCTTTCCCGCAACACACAATGCAATATTATTAAAAGTACCACCTTTTTAAATATTTAATATAGTGTGTTTCTTGCAAATGTCCTTAAGATTCTCATGATGTAGAAGGAGATGCCAAAAATAAAAAAGCCTCTCCACCACCCCACCAAACAATAAAAAAAAAAAGGAGACCACCACCACCGCCTCCAAAGTTGAAAGTGGAAACTAGTCTAAGAGACTACCTTGGGCATTTAGCTCATTTTTAGCTGTGCTTAAACACATTTTGTCATAATTTTCCTTCTAATCATGGGGATGGTGGACTTGAAAAAAACTGAAGTGCTCTCTGTGACCCCTTCCTCAGTCAGTGACTTATCTCTCCAAGATTGTTATCTAAGAGATGCAGCAGGAATGGACAGGAATTCCCAATGCCCTAGACTCTTAAAAGTGACGAGTGTTACTAAACTTTTGTTTGTTCGTTGTATTCGACGTCGGGGAGGTTTGCTGGTCAAGACGTTAAAACCCCACATGGGTCCGAGCCGTAATTCTTCCGTTCTACGACGACACCGTTCTTCACGAAAGACGTCTTGAAACCGACTACGAACAAGTACTTTTTTGGACAGACCGAGTCACCCGTAGCGTGGGTTGTCAGCACCCGGGGCAAGGCAAGTAATTTGCGCCCCCCCCTCCACAGTGGGCGGCGACCCGGCGGCTCGGATCGGATTCGCACAGCCAGCACTGCAGAGAGAGTGAGTGAGCCAGGCAGGGGCAGAGAGCTGCGAGTGCGAGCGCGCCCCCCCAGATGTTGCGGCCGGTGCGGCCGGCCCCCCCTGCACCCCCCACGCTACGCCTCTGGTCTGGCTACACAACAGTTACAAATTATATGGACAAAATCAAAACTGCCTTTTTGGGGAGGAGGTGCACCCTTGAATCTATTTTAACTCCTTTTCTTTTTCTTTTCAGCAGTAATTTTTCCATGCCTTTTTTTTTTAACCACTAAGAGAGAGAGAGACTGACCCAAAATCACCCAGCTTGCCCTCATGCATATGACAGGACTAAAATACATGACCTCCTGATTTCTACCAAAGTGTCTTTACAAACTAGTTCTCAAAACTAACAGTATTTCCCCGAATATAACATGTTCATTTGGTCACTTTTCAAGTGTGTCTCTATGAATTTTGCTAGGACTGTCTGTCAGTGTCTGTTTCTGTAAGTTCCTATAAACTCTTGCTTATGTCATTAATGATAGTATTTAGCCACTTTTGTCATCTGTTTTCCTGCCTTCCATTATTTTTAAAACAATCATTCTCCCCCACTGTCTCTTATCTTTACATCATGTTTCCAAAATATTTAAGCCTTGGCTTCATTATTACTATTTCCAGTGAATGGTTCGGTCTCAAAATTCAAAAAGGAAATACAGCACAATTAATATGCTACCGCAAGGTTTCAAGCATACTAAACATAAATCAGACTCTTAAGGTGATACAAAAAATAATAATAATGCCTTTTTCAGAACCATCCTGTCTTGCACCAGTAGTTACAAGCATAGGAGGTTAGAGTTAGACCAGATTTCTTTATGTCAGTTATAAATCTCACCACAGTGCATGAAATGAGAAAGTTCAGGAAAAGCTAACAAGCTTATTTCAGCTGCTGAGGTTCCATGCATGGAGGTTTTCTTGTTTCACACTGAGCCTTGAAACTGCAGAGGCTCTGAGCAGCAGCTCACCAGTTTAATGCTGCTTCTGGATGACATTTTGATTGAGCTGAATGGCTGGGACTGCCAGCAGAGCTGGTGCTGTTTACTAGAGAAGTGAGAGGAGATTAAAATGGTTGCAGCGATACAAGTAGCGGCAATGGAGCAGTAACATGTCTGCCTCTGCCTTTCCTGGTGAAGAAAGGGAGCTAGAGAGTGGCATGGATGAGACTAGGAGAGGAGAGGAGAGGAGGCAGGTGGTGTTGGGTTTAGGGTGCTGGTCAGATTCTGGCACTAGAAGAGGGTTGAATATATGGACGGGGCCCTGGGTCCTGGATGAGACTTGGCAAGCACAGTGCTATGCCAAGAGGCAGGCAGGAACATTGCAATGGTGATGGGCTAGGGCAGGGGTCCTCAACCTTGGCAACTTTAAGTCTTGTGGACTTCAACTCTCAGAATTCCTCAGCCAGCTGAGAGTTGAAATCCACAAGTCTTAAAGTTGCCAAGGTTGAGGACCCCTGGGCTAGGGAAATAAGCCGTGAGTCACGGCGTGGCATGCTTCTGAGGAATATATTTCTGGTGTCTTACATTCATATCATCCCTTGTATCTGCCCTGAATATCAAGATGTTAAACTTTAGGAGGCCCGGGGTTTCCAGGTGTTGTACGCAATACCAGGTTGATCTCTTAACCAAGCTCACCACCATTGTGATCTAATTTTGAATAAGAAGGCTGATCCGGTGTGCGTTACTCAGACTTGGCTGGGCACATGTGTTTATGTGCCCCTCTCCAAAATGTGCCCATCCAAGTTTCAATGGTAGCATTACCCATACTTCAGCAATGGGATAGAGAAGGGAGTACAGTATAGTTATTCAGGGGACTCTGGTTGTTAGGGTGCTGCCTTGTAGACAGCTGGGCCTTAAGGAGCAGTAGGGGCTATGGCTGCTCCTGTATCAGTCTTCCTGTTTCATAGCAGCTTCCCTGCTGAACCTGCTCGATGTTATACTGAGGCTGACAATGGAGCCAAGGTAAAAACTTTTTAAAAAGCTTATTTTGTGGCAATAAAAGCAGAGAAATGGGTCCATGCCCTTCCTGGTTCACCGCTCCATTTTGCTGCCTTAATGCAGTGAGCATGCTGAAAATGACAGCCGCTTCTGTGAGGCCACAGCGCAGCTCAGGGATGCTGAGGCCATGGCGCAGCTCAGGGACGCATGACCTGCCCTCCTTTCCCAACATGAGGTCCGGATGTTTTCAAAAGTAAGTGTGTGATGTGTGATGTGTGTGAGGAGAGTAGGCCCAAGGCCTGCGGAGTCCTGCCAAGGTGGGATGGAGGGGAGAGGCTTAAACTGCATGTTAAGTGTACAGTAACTAAAACCTTCCAGACTACTACGGGTAACATTGTGAAAAATATGCATTAAAACCCCAAAATTGTTGCAAAAAATGAGTTAATTGTATTTTGTTTCATTTAATCATTCCAGACTGAGGCCCAGCATCTGAACTTTCCTCAAACGTCCAAAGAGCCTGCCCACAACAGTTTCATCTTGACTTGGGGAGCTAATCTTCAGTCAAGATTATTGTAATTTTATTACATTTTAAAGACTCCTTCACTGAATGT